GGGACTCCAGGATCATGACCTGAGCTGAAGGCAGTCGCTTAAACAACTGAGCCACCCAGGCGCCCCATTTATTTTTTTAACACAACTTTATTTTAATATTTTTAGTTGAAGCACAGTTGACATATTAGTTTCAGGTATACAGTATGGGGTCAACCATAAAAATAAAACTGCCAGTTATTTTGCCAGCAAGAGATGGGTTTATTTAGGAATCGCAAGAGAACTGCAATCCTGGTCAAGCAAGTTATGGCAAAACCATAGGCAAGTCTCCCAAACAAAGGAGAGGAATAGGCTTATTAGGGGAAGGTGGAAGTTGGGAAGGCTCTTAAAAACAAAAAGTCCTTTGAAGAAAACTGGGAGTTTGAAGTATAGTTGCTTCTCATTGGCCGGGCTGAGAGCTACGATCCTCTCTCATTGGCCGGGCTGTTGGGGAGTGTGCGAGGAAAGCCCTTCCTCCTTCTAGGGTAGGATAGTAGTTTCCATGCGCAAGGTCTGTCTCCTATTTATAGAGGACTATGAGTGGTAGTCCCTTCCCACACCTTCCAAGTCCATTTTAGTGAGGTTTCCCTGTATTAATTTTCACAATAGTGATTTGACAGTTAAATACATTATGAAATGCTCAGCAAGATAAGTATATTCACCGTACAAAATTATTACAGTATTATTGACTATATTTCTTATTTTATACTTTCCACCCCCGTGACTTACTTATTTATTTATTTATTTATTTATTTTTTTATTCTTATGTTAATCCCCATACATTACATCATTTGTTCTAGATGAAGTGTTCCATGATTCATTGTTTGTGCACAACACCCAGTGCTCCATGCAGAACGTGCCCTCCTCAACACCCACCACCAGGCCAACCCATCCTCCCACCCCCCTCCCCTCTAGAACCCTCAGTTTGTTTTTCAGAGTCCATCTTCTCTCATGGTTCGTCCAATGACTTACTTATTTTATAACTGGAAGAATTTTATGTTTATATGTGGTCACACCACAGGAGAACCAAGGAGGAGGCTATGACTATAGTCCCAGTGAGTATTGATGAGCTATGTCAGAGTGATTGCTGTAAAGGGGGCAGAACAGGTTGTGTTTTCGTTACTTTACTCAGGCTGTTTTGTTTGCTGAGGTGCATTGCGAGAGGGAAGATGGGGAGGCAGAGATGACTCAAAGGTGTGAACATGCTGCGGCCATCAGCTGAACCAGGAACATCGGTTGTCAAATGGATGTTCAGAGGATTAGGTGGGGATAAGAAGGTCGGACTGTGAGGGCACAGCATGTGTCTAATAGATGAAATAGTGGCTTCCTAAAGCCATGCATGTTCTAATCCCTTGAACCTCTGGATATGTTACCTCATGTGGCAAAAGGAACTTTATGTGTGTGATTAAATTGAGTATATTAACAACATGGAGAGATTATCCAGTGGGCCCAGTGTAGTCGCAGGAGGATGGAGTCAAAGAAGATTTCAGGGAGTAAAGAGAGGTCAGAGTGATAATTCCTGGCTTCGAAGACGGAGGAAGGGGCAGGGAGTCAAGGAATGCAGGAGGTCTTCAGAAATTGGGAAAGGGAAGGAAACAGATTCTTTTGTAGAACTGCCAGAAGGAACACAATCCTGATAACTTCTTGTTTTTATACTGGTGAAGCCCATTTTGGATTTATAATCTTTAAACTGTAAGAAGAAAAATTTGTGTTGACTTAAGCTGCAGAGCTGGTAACGATTTGTTAGAGCAGCTATAGGAAACTAATACAGTGTGCAGTGGAGAACCGGAAGAAGGCTGAGGGTTCCCGAAATATGCCTGTAGTCCTGGGTGCCTGAGGTTGAAGAAAAGGTCCAGATTGGGAGGCCTTCAAGCAGGAATGGGGGCTTTCTTTTGACACTTGGGGTCACTGGAGGTTTGGGGCAGGACGGGATCCTGGTGGTATTGCCAAGCACTCTCTCCACGCTGTGTGCAGAGCGATCTGTGAGGAGTCTGGTGTGCTGTCTGTGGTGTGGGTGAGAAGAGTTGTGATGGGTAGCTGAAGCTGTGAGGGAGGGGTGGTCTGAGAAGTGATGTGCACGAGAGGAGTCAGTGGGAACTGATGATGGTCCTGCAGCCCCGTTACCGGGGGCTTCTGTGAGAACAGGGAGCCCAGGCTTATGTCTAGGAGGCATGGTTTAGGGTACCCCGGGGGGATTGGCTGGCAAGTGGGGAAGTGGGTGAGCACGACATTGTTGTGGGTAGATGGAGTGAGGATACTCAGTCAAGAGACTTCCTGGACCTTGTTGGCCATGTCATTGCAGGTCTGTGTGATCTCTGAGGATGTGTTTGTGTTCTTCTCCCGGGAAGAATGGATGCTCCTTGATGATTCTCAGAGACTTTTGTATCAGGATGTGATGCTGGAAAACTTTGCACTTTTAGCCTCACTGGGTAAGGTCTGCATGCCAATCCCATCTGCTTTCTCTTTTTCTCCAGGGACTGCTCTGTCCTTCCCATGGTCAGATCATAGGTACTGCTTTCTTTCCAGGTTTTCTGGAGTAGGTGCTGTGAGGGCTGGGTTTGTGCTGTATGGAGCTTTCTCATCTCTTGGTGAGCCAGTCCTGAAGCCATGCAGCGAAGGGCTTGGGAGTCACAAGGTGTCGTTTGCCCAGTGGATCCCATAGTCTTGGTCATTTTGGGGACTGGTGAATCTATCCAGAATTATGGCACCTCTGTGCCTAAAGATCAGCTCCCTTTCTCTAGGGGACATTTTCTGGGGCTAAATTGTACCAGGAGTTACAGGCACTCACATAGTCACTACTTATGGGGACCTTTGTGCAGTTCCTCGAAAACCTTCCTTCAAGGTTTTTTTTTTAATTTTGAAAAGATTTTATTTATTCATTTTAGAGAGAGAGAGAGAGAGAGAGCATGAGTGGGGGGAAGGGCAGGAAAGGGAGAGAATCCCAAGCAGACTCCGTGCTGAGTGCAGAGCCCAACACGGGGCTCGATCCCCTGACCCTGAGATCATGACCTGAGCTGAAACCAAGAGTCAGACGCTCAACCAACTGAGCCACCCAGGCACCCCCCCCCACGAGGTTTTTTTGGGGGTTTTTTGGTAATAATTTGTTTTTTTTAAACTTACGGAGTGTCATAGGATGTCTTGCTCTGACCAGTAGTGGCTGCTCACCTGTCCTGTGTCTCTCTTAGGAATTGTATCCTCCAGATCACACGCAGTCACCCAACTGGAGCAAAAGGAAGATCCCCAGATGCCTGACCAGGTGGCTATGACCCCAGTCACAGAAAGAGAGGCTCGGAGGGGGCCTGGACTTGGTGAGTGGATATGAGGGAAGGGCATGATATCAGGGTTAGGTTCAAAACTAGTAGTACTAACTTTTCACCCTGGTGTTCAGCTTCAAGGCTGGTGGCCATCCTTGGTACCCGTCCTTCCCCATTCTTGACACTGCAGCTTATCTCCTGTATGCCTTCTAGCCCCTTGCCGTCTTCCATCTGCCCAGCACCCAGGCTGCCCCCTGCTGGGTCTGCATTTCCTGCAGCATTGGCGTACACTTGACATGTCACGAGATGCGCACGTATCCTTAAGTAACCTTGAGCCCCAGCTGCACACTTGTAAGTGGGTCCTCCTGGGCCTGTACGTGCCCTTCTGCACAGCACTCCCGCCTCGACAGCCGGATACCTCCTGGAAGCCACTTGCTCTTCTCTGTTCTCTGTCCACATATCCTTGTCCTCCGGAGGCGCCCTTCATTCAGTGACCTTCAGAGAATTGGTCTGCATTGCAACCCCTTCCTCAACCTGTTCCTACCTCTCTTGTCCTGTAAACAGTCCCACTGAGGTATTCCCGGGTGTGTCGTACACACATTAGCGATGGGGTTGCCCCCACCCGCGAGTCTAACATGCATGTCAACAGTACTCCTCTGCTTTCAGGGGGTTGGTGTGCAGTGGAGGATGAGGCTCCGTCCCCTGAGCAGAGTGTTTCTTCAGAAGGAGTGTCACAAGTCAGGACTCCGGTGGCAGGTCTGAACCCCCAGCCATGTGACATATCTGGCTCAGTATTGAAAGAAATCTTACACCTGACTGAATACCAGGGGGGAGAAGCCAGGCTGGAACCACACACGGGCGGGGCCTGTTGGAAGCACTTCTGGCACGGTGCAAACGTCCATCAGCACCACACTGCAGAGAAATCCTTCAGAAGAGATGAGGGCAGGGACTCGGTGAAAACCTGCAGATTCTATGTGCCAGAGAAGACCTATACACACAGTGAGCGTAGAAGGGACTTTCCAGCCACCTCTGACCTTCTTCAGCACCAGGTCCCCCACATTAGGATGAAGCCCCACAAGAACACCAGGCTTGGGGGAGCCCTTCACCCTGGACAGCGGCATCACAAGTGCATCGAATGTGGGAAATTGTTCACCCGCAAAGACACGCTTACTCGGCACCGGAGAATCCACACTGGAGAAAGGCCTTATGAGTGCAGCAAATGTGGGAAATTCTTTAGTCAAAGCTGTGACCTTTTTAAACATGAGACCATACACACTGGGGAAAGGCCTTACGAGTGCAGTGAATGTGGGAAATTCTTTAGACAGATCTCTGGCCTGATTGAACACAAGCGAGTTCACACGGGTGAAAGACTCTATCAGTGCAGTAATTGTGGAAAATTCTTTAGCAGTAAGTCTAACCTCATTAGACACCAAGAAGTTCACACAGGAGCAAGGCCTTATGTATGTAGCACATGTGGGAAGGAGTTCAGCCGCAAACACACACTTGTTCTGCACCAGAGGACTCACACTGGAGAAAGGCCTTATGAGTGCAGCGAGTGTGGGAAGGCCTTTAGCCAGAGTTCCCACCTTAATGTGCACTGGAGAATTCATGGCAGTGATTACGAGTGCAGCCGATGTGGGAAAGCCTTTAGCTGCATCTCTAAACTCATTCAGCACCAGAAAGTTCACTCTGGAGAAAATCCTTATGAGTGCAGCAGATGTGGGAAAGCCTTTACCCAAAGGCCAAATCTTATTCGGCACTGGAAAGTTCATACCGGAGAACGGCCCTATGTGTGCAGCAAATGTGGGAAAGAGTTTAACCGCAAACACACACTTGTTCTCCATCAGAAGATTCATAATGGAGAAGAACCTTAATACCATAGCAGATGTGGGGAGTCCTTTAGCCAAGGCCCCCAACTTATTGTCCATTTGAGAATTCCTAGCAGTGATTATGAGTGCAGCAGACGTAGGACAGTCTTTACCCAAGGACCAAACTTTATTCAGCACTGGAAAATCCACACTGGACAGTGGTACAGGGAATGTGCCATCTCCTTGTTCAGCCTAACAGCTCTCCCCAGAGTGAAGCTCTGAGAGGAGGCTTTGTGAGGGAGCCATCATTCAGAAGTGGTACCTCACACATAGGAACCTCTGCACTGGGGAGGTTCCTTGTGAGTGCCTGGTATGTCAGGTGCTATCAGGAGCTGTGTTGCACGTTGTAAATTGCCACCTCCCTTTGCCAGTGGCAGAAACCGTCCCACTATGACCATCTATCAGTTCCACAGTGTGTGTCAGTCACTCCAGCACGCTTAGGCAGGTAGACCTGTGCTGTCTCCACAGTCCCTAGAAGGAGTCATGATTGGCCTCCATGGCCCATGGGGGGCCTCATTTTCTCCCTTTTGTCTGGGTTAAGCATGGGAAAAATCAGCACACAAGATGGGTTTTCCAGGTATCTTGCAAAGGTTTATCTTCATGGACTTTTTCATCTTGTGTGATGCTCATTGTGGATGTGTATGGTCTCACGGCCTCCAGCCCTGGAAGCACATGCCTCACTTCACTCATGTTTGTACAGTAATAAAGGGCTTATTCTTTGAGCTACTTTTTTTTTTTTTTAAGATTTTATTTATTTATTAGAGAGAGAGCCCCAGCGGGGGTGGGGGGCTGCGCAGAGGGAGAGGGAGAAGCAGGCTCCCTGCTCCATCTCAGGGTCCTGGGAATCATGACCCGAGTTGAAGGCAGACGCTTAACTGAATGAGCCATGCAGGTGCCCCTCTTTGAGCTACTTTTAATCTGGAAGGTTCTGCTTATTGTGTGTTGAGGACACAGTTGTGTTCTACCAACATGAAAGGATAAAGTTTGTGGGAGTCCCCAGTTTTTCATGTCTCAGAGGGGACACGATGATGGCAGAGAAAAGCTCTCACTCCAGGTTTGGCCTAATTTGCGTTGCTACCCAAGGTCTTATAGGAAAGACTTAGGAGCTTTGTGAGACCTGTCATGGCAGCCTGGGTGCTAGTTTAATTTTTGGGTCCAAAAGTAACTATGTGGGGAGGTGGTTGTGACAACCTCCAGTGCATCTGGAAGCAGAATGAGTTTAGTCCCTTGTCCCCATGGAATGTTTCATATCCCCAAGCACTGTTAAGAGGAGACTGGCCTCTGGTACCTGGCAAGGAGCCTGAGTTCAGAATTCAGTAGGTAGATGTCACTGGCTGGAAGACTACAGGGGCCAGGTGGGAACTATAATGGACACAGACACAAAGTGTGATTAATACGGAGTTAGAGAGATTGCAGGACACTACACAGATGCCCCACGAAAGGTACCTGCTCATAGTATTCCCATATTATGGCTGAGTAGGATGAGAAGAGTACAGAAATTTTCAGGACTTCCAGAGCTGTCTCCTGTGGCCAAGATAACTTACAGGACAAATAACCTAAATATTTGTGGATTCCCTTAGACCCTAGATGCCTCAGGTCAGAACTGTTCCTGCGCTGGCAGGAAAATGGATTGAGAGAAGGGAGATCTGGGATTCCAGGGATGTGGTTTTTGTGACTTATCCAATATTCTTTTCCTTTTTTTTTTTTTTTAAGATTTTATTTATTTATTTGTCAGAGAGGGAGAGAAAGCACAAGCAGGGGGAGTGGCAGGCAGAGGGAGAAGCAGGTTCCCTGCTGAGCAGGGAGCCCAATGAGGGACTCGATCCTAGGACCCTGGGATCCTGACCTGAGCTGAAGGCAGATGCTCAACTTACTGAGTCACCCAGGCATCCTGACTTACTCAGTGTTCTTGGTGACTCATATAGAAACAGCTTTCCTGAGTTGCCAATTTATGCTGCCACTGAGGCAGGACTACTCCCAAGGCACGAGGAGAGAGATGATGGAGTAAATGGGGTTGCCTATAGGATTTAGTCTTTTTCCTACTTTCTTAAGGTGGACTATGTTATTTATTTGAAAACTCCCCTCTAATTTAGTAATTTTGTAAGTTTCCCTGTAATGACTATGTTAGCAGCATTCCCCAGATTTTGATATATTGTGCATTTGTTTCATCTTGAGATAGAATTAGTTTAAAATTGGACTGAAAAAGTTCTAACTTTATTTCTAGGAACTTCTGAGTATCTGTCTTTGACACTCTGCTAAGATAAGGGCCGTGGGATTTATTATGTGTTGTTTAATATCCAAAAATTTCCTGACCACACCTAGTCCCAGTTTGGTTGCTGATGGTTTCCAACTGGCATAATGGTTAGATAGTCTGGCTTGAGTGTGTTACCAGAAAGGCATAAAAACTCCTACTGGAATCTTCTGACTCTCTGGAAGCCAGGGTTCATCAGTCACATATTTGTGGCTTAATCTGGGAGTGAATCACAGGAGTGTGTGAATAAGAATCTGGGAAACTGCATGGATGTTTGACTCCCAATATGGCCCTGCATTCTTTCTCTTGCTATGTTATATCCTTTGCTTTTAAGAAAACCTCACATGAGTATGTTCTGTGGAGTCTTGCAAGTATTTTGAATTACAATATTCGTGAAATGGTTGCAGTTGGTGATAAGGATGGGATATTTAATATAACTCCTGATTTTAATTCAAATAATAATGACTAAGAGGGGAGCGCATGGCTGGCTCAGTTGGTAGAGCATGTGATTCTTGATCTCAGGATCATGAATTCAAGCCCCACATTGAGTGTGGAGCCTACTTAAAAAAAAATGACTTAGTGCACAGGAAAAAGATGACAGAGGCTGGTGAGGAAGGATTTTTGGTAATGGGTTGGTTTCCAGGCCATCCCTGGGTTGCGTGTGCACAAGTGCTGCACTCAGAAACAGGAGGAGAAACATAAGTGAGAACTGGGGTCTAGGTCCTTGCTAAATGGATTGCAAATCAAATACAAACTGAGGGGACGTCAGCCAAGAATGTGGTTCCTTGGCTGCCCCCCCGCCAGCAAAAATAAAGGCATCAGAGAAGCAGCTAGAGGCTCTTAAACGTGTAGATTATAGCCTGTGATTCAGTATGAAACCATACCTTCTATCGCCATCCCTCTGAGCCAGCTGATGGACATGGTAAAAGGGGAGACAGTATGATGTGAGGCATGATGTTATGCATCTCTGTTCTGTTCAGCTCTCTCTTTTTTTTTTTTTAAAGATTTTATTTATTTATTCATGAAAGACAGAGAGAGAGAGAGAGGCAGAGGGAGAAGCAGACTTCCCGCGGAGCAGGGAGCCTGATGCGGGACTCGATCCCAGGACTCTGGGATCATGACCTGAGCCGAAGGCAGACGCTCAACCATCTGAGCCACCCAGGCGCCCCTGTTCAGCTCTCTTGAGTGGGTTTTTATACTGGGGGGAAGATAAGGATTATTCAGAAGAAAGATAACTATAAATAAAAGATGGAAGAATTCTCAGAATAACTAAATCAGATAAAGATGTTCAGGAGTTGATTAAAAGTAACATCTTTAAAAAGGAGAAGGTAGAATAGTTAATAAAATTTTGGTGGATTACTAAGAAATTGGCAGTCTGTTCAAAGAACTGGGACAAATTCAATTTATCCTAGCCAAAATAAACTTTTAAAATATTAAGATTATAAAAAAGAGGCCTCTATAATCTTCTCAGAACCTGTTTTGATTATAACCAGGCAAGGAAATGCAGAGGATTTGACTGAGTGATGGGGTCTCATGACCTTCCAGCAGGGACCCCAAGTCTGCTTTCATTGGTATTGGTGACATGGCCTTAGGGCAGTAAAAAATATACAGTTGCTAGGCTTGATGATCTGTGTATTGTTATGACTTAAAAGTCAAATGAAAATTGAGAGGGAGATATTACAGGAATATGATGTTACTATAGAAGACTTACAGGTGAAAGCACAGTCCACAAAGGAATTTCTGGACAGAAACCATGTATGGTTGTTGCCTCCCCCTGACCATAGTGCATTATTGGAATGGATATGGTGTTATATAAATCTACTTAGTCCTTTTTTTTTTTTTGAAGTAAGCTCTACGCCCAACGTGGGGCTTGAACTCAGGACCCCAAAGATCAAGAGTCACATTCTCTACTGACTGAGCCAGCCACGTGCCCCTAGTTAAGGATCTTCGATTTTTTTTAATTTAAAAAATTGTTTAAGCTTTTATTTTTTTAAGTAATCTCTACACCCAGCATGGGGGCTTGAACTCACTACCCCGAGATCAAGAGTTGCGTGCTCTTCCAACTGAGCTAGCCAGGCACCCCCAGGATCTTTTAGATGCAGCTGTGTTAGTATTTACAAATTCCCATTTAAAGGTCTCATGGTGTGTAAGGAAAGCTGATGGAAAGGAGAGGTTAACTGTAGATTTTGGAGGACTTGATAGTTGTAACCCCCACCCTGGGCCCCAAATCATCAGCTGTATCCAATATGCTATCTACAATTAAAGTTATGCTGCATGCTCAGAGACATCAGTGTTTTGTTCTGGATTTGGCTAATGCCTTCTTTTATATTAGGAAGCCAAAGCGTTCATTAGAGGTAGACCCCAGTATGCAGATACTGTGTCCTCAAAAGAAGATTTCAAAAATCTGGCTGACACTTGGCCCTTGATTTAAACTCCATTCCATGATGGTATCTAGTGTATGCGCAAAGCCACTTTTGGAGGGGAAGGCCAAGAAAATACTACTCTAAATCTGACATATTTTGTAATGATCGTTGTCTAATCCGTAATATAACTGTTACTTGGTGTGATACTGGTATAACCAGTAAGATTAATTTAATGGATTCTAACGAAACCTGTGGTAACACTGATAGATTATAAAACATGTTGGGAAACTGAATTAAAACCTCTACAGGATGCTCTCTCAGTGGAATTTGTTTGGCCAGAAGGGGAACTAGAATTAGTTAAAAATAACATAATTTCAAATTTAATGAATTTCCTGATAACAAAAAAATTGAAATTCCAGTGTAACTAATGTACAGTGTTATATTAGTTTTAGGTGTACAATATAGTGAACAATTCTATACATTACTCAGTGTTCATCATAAGTGTACTCTTAATCCCCCTCACCTTTTTCACCCATCCCCCCCACCTCCCCTCTGGTAACCATCAGTGTGTTCACTATATTTAAGAGTCTGTTTTTTCATCTGTCTCATTTTTCTTTGTTTTGCTTCTTAAATTCCACATATGAGTGAAGTCAAATGGTATTTGTCTTTCTGTGACTGACTTATTTCGCTTAGCTTAACACCCTCTAGGTCCATCTATGTTCTTGCAAATGGCAAGATTTCATTCTTTTTATGGCTGAGTAATACTTCATTGTGTGTGTGTGTGTGTATATATATATATATATATATATATATATATATATACACCGTGTCTTCTTTATGCATTCATCTATCGATGGACAGACGTTGCTTCCATAATTTGGCTATTGTAAATAATGCTGCAATAAACATAGAGTGCATGTATCTTTTTGAATTAGGGTTTTCCTCTTCTCTGGGTAAATACCCACTGGTGGAATTACTGGATCATATGGTAATTCTATTTTTATACTGATACCTTTCTTAAAGTTCGGATCTTGGTGGTGGAGAGGTAAGATGGTTACCAATCTTTACATGATTATAAACACCTTTGTTGCTGGAATAATTTGTTTTT